GTAGGCAACTACATGGCAAATTAGGTTTAATATTTGAAAATGTATTGCACCTGGGAGGTAAAGTAAGTTATTTGCTAGGGGGAGAACCTCTGGGGGAATCGAGGATCTGGGGTTTCTAGCAAATCACAGGCTTGGCAATAGCATGCATTGCCAAGCTGCAGCAAGCAAAGATAGCAGACTATTAGCATTAAAAAGGGTATCTACTCAAGAGATCATTCTAAAATTCTGCCACTTCATAATACTCTCGTTCAGCTACATCTTGATTATGCTGTCTAGTTTTGAGCACCAGTCATCCGGAAGGATGTGCTGGGGATGGAGAGAGTCCAGAGAAGGGCAACAAATCTAATAAGAGGGCTGGAGGACCTTGGCTGGAGTACCTTAGTTATGAAGGACAACTACAAGGGAGCTTATTCTCCCTGGGGAAGGGACGCTTAAGAGGAGCTAAGATTGATGATTCTGTCATAGGGAGAAAACTATTCAATCAGATCGTTTAAGAAGACAGGTGTCCACTCAGTGAAGTTGGATGAGAAGCAGTTTAATCTTTAAACTGTGTAAGTCGTTCTTTACTGTCCGAGATGTAAGGATGTGGAACTCCATTCCACTGTTGGCAGAGAGTATCCTTAACCACTTGCCCTCCAGAGGATTTACACCCTTCCTGACCAGGCCATTTTTTGCTATACGGCGCTGCGTTACTTTAACTGACAATTGCACGGTCATGCACTGCTGTACATAAATAAAATTTATGTCAGTTTTCCCCACAAATAGAGCTTTCTTTCGGTGGTATTGGATCACCTGTGCGGGTTTTTTTTTTTGCGCTATAAACCAAAAAAGATCAACAATTTTGAAAAAAAAAACAATTTTTTACTTTTTTGTTATAAAACATCTGTTTTTTTGCTAAAAGAAAAAAAAAAAATCCCAATACATGTAAATGAATTGGTTTACATGAGTTAGTGTCTACAAATGGTGTATACTGGAATTTTTTTTTTATTTTAATTGTATACTTGTAATGGCGGCGATCAGCTACTTATAGCGGGACTGCGGCTCCATTCTGACACTGGGGGGAACTAACTGCCACTGACATCCCAATGACACCAATACTGGGATCATTTCTAATAAAAAGCACTGATACTGTACTAATGACACTGATCAGAGAAATACACAGCAGCATGTTACTACTGGCAGGAGAGAGACCTGTGTTCGGCGATGCACTGGGTGGGGGAAATCTCTGGCCGGGACTCAGTGATCGACGTCTGTAGCCGTCAATGGCGGGGGGGCGGCGCGCACGCGCCCCCTACCCGGAGATGCAGAATTACTTATATTTAGCTGGTTATTGCTGGTGGCTATAGTCACTGGCAGTAATTGCATCCTAAAACTCCGACATGCTAGTTGTACCCAAGTCGAACCATTGATGTACCAAAGTTGATCCCTGATGAACCTACGAGTTTCAAACCATCTATGGCCCACTTAAGAAATAACCAACTTAAAGTGATTGTAAAGGAATTTTTTCCCTTTCAGGAGCAAATTGGATCATGCTTTGCTGTTTTTTTTTTTTTTTTTTTCTTCCTCTGGATCAACTGTGGGTGTAGGATAACGTTTTTTTTTTTTTTTTTTATATATATGGTTGAACTGGATGGGGTTTTGTCTTTTTTTTCAGCCAGACTAACTATGTAATTGTGTGCAGCCCTGTCACCCTGTAGCAGTAGTTCTGCTATAGGGCGATAGGGAAGTGGTTAATAAAAAAAAAAAAAAAAAAAAAAAAAAAACTTTTAAATGAACATCCTAGGGAGTTCAATATACAAGGAACTGGGAAATGGTAGTGACACACACACCCACTCAGGTTGAACTGGATAAACTGGTGTCTTTATTTAACCTTACCAACTATGGTATACTTTTATGCAACTGAGATCAGCGGCGATCCTGAGGATCGTTGCTGATCTCAGGTCATTTAGTTGTTTAGGAAGCAGACGGCCAGTGTATGAAGGAGCGATGGCAGCCCTTCACTGGCAATCTGTGTGAAAATTCTACCTCCAGATTCTCCAACATAAAGGTGGAGAATCGTGGGAGCAGCAAAAGAAGCAGCTGTAATTTACCACTTAGTAAACTGTGTGTTTGACTGATCTCTTACTGTAATCTCGCGAGAATACAGTAACAGCAGCTGTTTTCTAGTGTTCAAAGCATTTGTAGATTGCTTCACTCCTCAGGAGAAGCGATGTACAACGCTTCATGAACAGGCATTCAGAGGAGAACTCTCTGAGAATGCCAGAGAACTGAGCAGCGGTCATTTACCGCTGCATGATAAAAGGACACATATATCTATGCATATAACTGAGAGACGTTGCTTCATAATCTACTGCCCTCAGCTAACAAATAGAAGTTGAGGTAGTTTGAAATTATGTACATTATCCAGGTATGTATTGTATATGAAAAAATCTTAAATGTATTTTTAAACAGTAACGTAGCCTGAACTCTTATTGCCAAAAGTGTTGGGCCAGGCCTCCAAATCATTGAATTCAGGTGTTCCAATCAACCTCCATGGCCACAGGTGTATAAAATCAAGCACCTAGGCATGCAGACTGCTTCTACAAACATTTGTGAAAGAATGGATCGCTCTCAGGAGCTCTGTGAATTCAAGCATGGTACCATGATAGGTTGCCACCTGTTCAATAAGTCCATCTGTGAAATTTTCTTGCTACTAAATATTCAATGATCAACTGTTAGTGGTATTCCAACACAGTAGAAGCAACTGGGAACAACAGCAATTCAGCCATGAAGTAAAATGACAGAGTGGGGTCAGCGAATGCTGAAGCGTACTGTGCGCAGAAGTCACCAACTGTCTGCAGAGTCAATAGCTAAAGACCTCCAAACTTCGTGTGGCCTTCAAATTAGTAGAATAACAGTGGGTAGAGAGCTTCATGGAATGGGTTTCCATGACCGAGCAGCTGCATCTAAGCCTTACATCACCAAGTGCAATGAAAAGCGATGGATGCAGTGGTATAAAGCACGCTGCTACTGGACTCTAGAGCAGTGGAGACGTGTTCTCTGGAGTGACCAAAAGCGCGTCTTTATCTAGCAATCCGATGGATGTGTCTGAGTTTGCGGTTGCCTGACTGCATTGTGCCAAGTGTAAACTTTGGGGGGGGGATTATGGTGTGAGGTTGTTTTTCAGGGGTTTGGCTTGGCCCCTTAGTTTCAGTAAAGGGAACTCTCCTTAATGCATCAGCATGCCAAGACATTTTGGACAATTTTATGCTTCCCACTTTGTGGGAACAGTATGGGGATGGCCCCTTTCTGTTCCAACATGACTGCGAAAAAGTGAACAAAGCAAGGTCCATAAAGACATGGATGAGTGCGTTTGGGGTGGAGGAACTTGACTGGCCTGCACAGAGTCCTGACTTCAACCCAATAGAAAACCTTTGGAAAGAATAAGAGTGGAGACTGCGAGCCAGGCCTTCTCATCCAACATCAGTGCCTGACCTCACAAATGCGCTTCTGGAAGAATGGTCAGAGATTCCCATAGACACACTCCTAAACATTGTGGACAGCCTTCTCAGGAGAGATGAAGTTGTTATCGCTGCAAAGGGTGGACCAACTCCGTATTGAACCTACCGACTAAGACTGGAATGCCTTTAAAGTTCACGTGCGTGTAAAGGCAGACATCCCAACACTTTTGGTAATATTGTGTACAGTGGATATAAAAGTCTACACACCCCTGTTAAAAATGTCAGGTTTCTGTGATATGAAAAAATGTGACAGATAAATAATTTCAGAACTTTTTCCACCTTTTAATGTAACCTATCAACTGTACAACTCTGTTGAACAACAAACTGAAATCTTTTAGGTGAAGAGAAGTAAAATTAAAAACTAAAATATGGTTGCATAAGTGGGCACACCCTTAAACTAATACTTTGTTGAAGCACCTTTTGATTTTATTACAGCACTCGGTATTTTTGGTATGAGTCTATCAGCATGACACATCTTGACTTGGCAATATTTGCTCACTCTTCCTTCCAAAAACACTCCAAATCTGTCAAATTTGGAGGGCATCTCCTGTGCAAAGCCCTCTTCCGATCACCCCACAGATTTTCGATCAGATTCAGGTCTGGGCTCTGGTTGGGCCATTCCAAAATTTGTTTTAATCATCTTCTGGTGAAACCATTGCCTTGTTGATTTGGATGTATGATTTGGGCCGTTGTCATGCTGTAGAGATTAACCACATGCCTCCCAGCCACTGTATAAATACAGCGGCAGGGCGGCACGGCTGGGCAAAAGCACGTTTTAAAATGTGGATTTGCAGCAGGATTTTAGGCTCCATTTGGTGACTTCGTTCCGCACTTCAGGTGCAAATTGCTAAAGTGTATAACACTAGAAATTGCATCTGAATATGGCTGAAAATTGTGCTGGACTCTTTTTGAAATTGCACTGTGGCCGTCCAGCAAATATTTGAACAGGCTCCATAGAAAAGCCATGTGGTTCAAAACTCATCCAGTTCACATATATGTGAGCTGAAGCTGGACTACCCTGTTTAGCATGATTCAGGCTGGAAGAGAAAGGTGCAGCACTGTTGCACATTGCACAGTACACAGGTAGCCAGCTGTTAAAAGTGGGGAAGTACAGGGATGAGCTCATCAGTGTTTTTGCGCTGTTACTATTACAGGTTGGAGCTGTCCTTAACCAAGCTCTAGTGCTTAAACTGGAGTAGAAGAATGAGGTCAGAATCTGGCAGTGCTATCTGAAAAGGAAAAAGAATTATAAAATTGGCTGATCAAAAGTTTAAACTTTTGTATTTCAACACTAAAGATAGCCTAAAGATAATCTGGGTAATAGTCGAGGTGTCACAATAATATTTACATAATGCATGCCATTTCTAATGCCACACCCCTACAGCCCTGAGTCTAGGCCTACATCTCTTTTCTAGAGAACTGCTTTTTCTCTCACCTTTTTGAAAAATTGGAGCTACCTTTGAAATGTTTGATAATGTCTGATTTCATTTTGATTTGCAGCAGCGTAGACGACCTCAGGAAGTTCAACGGAATATCATTCTGGAGTCTCATGTCATTTGCTGCACACTGAGCGCGAGTGGTGGCATCCTGCTGGAATCAGCCTTCAGGCAGCTTGGACAGGAGCCATTCAGTTGTGTCATTGTGGATGAGGTCAGGATCTTGAGCTAAGATTTTTCTTTTCATATTTACTATCTTATTGGAGAAGAGATACCTACACCCTTTATGCTTCTATTTTTAGGCAGGGCAGTCATGTGAAGTGGAGACCCTCATTCCGCTTCTCCACCGATGTTGTAAATTGGTGTTAGTGGGAGACCCAGAACAACTTCCACCAACTGTTATATCAATGGTAAGCTTGTCCATCTAACAGCTTTGACAATTTGAATGCAATGTATGAGTATGTCTAATGGATTTTTAATTTTTGTTTTTCACAATTAGTAGAAACAGTTGGTCTGTGATTGATGGACCTGTGGTGTTTTATTTTAGGTTATACTTCTTACAAACCAGACATCAGGATCATTTCCTGGATATATTCATTAATTCATGTGTGTTCGTAATAAAAGAGATAAACTAATAGACTCACTGTAAAGGTTTGCTGGCCATCATCTTAATTTCTGTTCCTCATCAGTTTTTTGTGTGAAATCTGAACACAAATGCCCAAGCTGATTTTTGGTGTACTGTTGTCCATAGTAATTGATGTTTTGCGAAATTGCAACATATTTATTGCAGGTAAAGAGCTATCTTAAGCGCACAGTACATGGCACAGACTGTGTACTCATAGGCCTCAGGTTATAGGCTCACACCTTCAGGTGTTTGGATATTGGCAAGCTTTTGATAGCACACCCCTTTGGTGCCTTTCCTATACTCCACATAAGTCCACTTTTAAAATTTTTTTTTTTTTTGCTAGTGTTGTAAGTTGATGTACTTTTTCTTCCTTATAGGGAAATCTTACTTCGCTAGTTTACTTTTTGGTTGATTCCTGCTTGCGGCCTCAGTTCAACATAGAACTGCTACCAGAGCGACATAGCTTATGACCCCCCACTGCCTTTGTTACCGGTCTTTTAGTAACGGTCCTTTCTGTTATGGTTAATCCATCTGCAACCCTTCTCAGTTACAATATTGGCGTCCATACTCCATCTGGGGACTCAGCCATCTACGTTGAGACTGTTCTTTGCCTTTTATCAGCCTGTGTTACCATTGGCAGTTTTACTACTAAATCATTATTTGTTCCATATAATTTGTGACTTTTTTGTATTTTAAGCATTTATTAAAAGACTCATTCTTCCCATTATTGAATGGCACTGTTAACTTATTCGGGGCATATTGACACAATTAATCTATTGCTAAACCTCAATTTTCAAGTGCGTTTGTGACTTGTTATATTCTACCTCTACGCCCAAGGAGATTATGTAGCAGCACATGATCATTGCTGTCCATGTAGTACAATCTATCGCTGGCCTTATTTTTTTCTTTCTTCCTTTGGTTTCATTGGGATTTCTAGGGCAATTAGCAGTTTTTTGGGGTCCTGTTGGGCGATGTTTAGACTTTGTTGGATCCAATAATTTTACATAATAATTTTATATATTGTTTAAACAAAGGTGTCCTGCTCCAGTTTTACACACCCTATGGCAGGGGTGGGCAAACTTTTTGACTTGAGGGCCGCAATGGGTTCATATATTGGACCCGGGGGCCAGACCAAGAGTAGATGAATGATGTGTATGTGTCATCCATAGTAAGTATAGTAATATACCCCCATAGTAAGCATAGTAATTCATCCCCCCTATAGTAATTCATCCCCCATATTAATTCATCCCCCATATTAAGTCCCCAAGTCCCCCCTGTGTCAATTCACTTACCTTTGCTCCGCACGTTCCTCTCGCCGTGTTCCCGCGCCGTTCCGGTGTAGCATGAAAATCTGTCTCCTATGAGGATCTGTCCCCCTCGACGTATCTGCGCATGTGCCAGTTTCAGGCATTAGCAGCCGATCGGCGATCTCCGGCACATGCGCAGATACGTCGAGGGGGACAGATCCTCATAGGAGACAGATTTTCATGCTACACCGGTCTTCAGGGCGGACTGTGAGAGGAGCCTAGCGTAGTTTGCACATTGCTGCCCTATGGCCTAAATGATCTTTTACTGCCGTTTTTCATTAATAGATTAGGATTATGTTTACAAGACATCAATGAACTAGTTAATTCTTATATAGATATATATTAAATTTTTTTTCCCCCTCTTCTTTTTTTTTTTTTCCTTTTTTTTTTTTTTTTTTTTCAACACATTGTTTATTGAAACCAAAGCCATAAACAGAAGCAGAGCATACATATAGACAGAGTCCTCTATATACGGATGTGTTCAAAATAATAGCAGTGTGTTGAAAAAGGTGAATAAAGCTCAAAATCCTTCTAATAGCTTTTATTTCCATACACACAAATGCATTCGGAACACAACACATTCTATTCCAAATCAAAACATGAAGAAAAATATATCAAATTTGTGTTTTTCCTCTAAAAAAAAAAAAAAATTGAAGAAAAGTGAATATTAGACATTCAATATTAGTGAATGTTAAAAAAAATAGCAGTGTTTTGTGTTCTTCTCTACAAACTCAAACATTCACTATATAAACTGAAAAATGTTTGAAGATTTTGCTTTCCTTTAACCACTTGAGCTCCTGAGGATTTACCACCCTTAATGACCAGGCCTTTTTTTGCTGTTTGGCGCTGCACTAATTCAAATAATAATTGCGCGGTCATGCAATGCTGTACCCAAACGAAATTTACGTTTTTGTTTTCACACAAATAGAGCTTTCTTTTGGTGGTATTTGATCACCTGTGCGCTTTTTATTTTTTGCGCTATAAACAAAAAAAACAAAAATTTTGAAAAAAAAAAACAATATTTTCTACTTTCAGCTATAAAAAATATATCGTAAACTCAAAGTTAGTCATAAATTTAAGCCAAAATGTATTCTGCTACATGTTTTTGGTAAAAAAAATCCCAATAAGTGTATATTGATTGCTTTGTGTGGAAGTTATAGCATCTACAAACTATGGTATAGATACTGTAATTTATACCTTTTTTTGCTATACAGCGCTGCACTAATTCAAATGATAATTTCGCGGTCATGCAATGCTGTACCCAAACAAAATTTACGTCCTTTTTTTCACACAAATAGAGCTTTCTTTTGGTGGTATTTGATCACCTGTGCGCTTTTTTATTTTTTGCGCTATAAACAAAAAAACACGAATATTTTGAAAAAAAAACATTTTCTACTTTCAGCTATAAAAATGATATCGTAAACTCAAAGTTAGTCATAAATTTAAGCCAAAATGTATTCTGCTACATGTTTTTGGTAAAAAAAAAATCCCGTGCATTAGCGGGCAAACTGGCTCTATCTGGGAGGGGCGCTAACACTATCGGAAGTAACCAGTGACACTAATACAGTGATCAGTAAAAATCTGTTCACTGTAATCTGGTGACAGGGCAGTGAAGGGGTTAACTGGGGGGGGAGATTAAGGGGTTAAATGGGATTACTGGTGTACTAGCGGGCAAACTGGCGCTATCTGGGAGGGGCTCTAACACTATCGTAAGTCGCCAGTGACACTGATACAGTGATCAGTAAAAAAATCGGTTCACTGATCAGTGACACTGGTGACAGGGCAGTGAAGGGGTTAACTGGGGGGGGGGGGGGGATTTAGGGGTTAAACGGGATTACTGGTGTACTGGCGGGCAAACTGGCGCTATCTGGGAGGGGCACTAACACTATCGGAAGTCGCCAGCGACACTGATACAGTGATCAGTAAAAATTGGTTCACTGATCAGTGACACTGGTGACACGGCAGTCAAGGGGTTAACTGGGGGGGGGGGGGGGGGACGATCAGGGGGTTAAATGTGTCCTAGAGTGTTCTAACTGTGGGTATGTGCTGTTTTACTCACTGTTTGTATGTCTTCTTCTCTGTCTGGAACGGAATGTGTCCAGGCAGAGAAGAATGACATCATATCCTGTCCTGTGTAAATATCAACACAGGACAGGATAGAACAGGGACCGATCATCTGATTTCAGCCAGACATCGCTGGCTGAAATCGAATGATTGATCCCTCCGGGATCAAATGGTGTCACCCGCGGGTCGGCGGGAGCGCGCGCACGCCCCCCCTGCCGGCGAAAACGTCGGGAGCGCGGAGCCCATTTTAAAACGTGCTTTTGCGCCCCAGTGCCGCCCTGCACACGTATATATGCAGTGGCAGGGGGGCAAGTGGTTAATAATAAAATATTATAATAATAATAAATTATAATAAAAGCTTTACACAAATTGATAAAAGCTGATCGTTGTATACACCCCTGTCAGTGGTAAATAGTTTGTCTCAATTCTCTCGTTGCTTCTTTTTCAACCTACTATAACAGATTAACTTCTTCCCTACCAAGCTATATTATTATTATTATTATTATTATTATATAGTATTTATATAGCGCCAAAGGGTTTGCTCAGTGCTGTACAATAGCAAGGGGGACAGAACATGAGACAAGACAGAAACAAAACAATATACAAGGGGTTCGAGGGCCCTGCTCTTTCGATAGCTGAAAGACTGCTACAGCGCGGTTGTCTAGTTCTGGGACGACGTCCATGGACGTAATTCCAGAACATGCCCCCAGCGGCGCGCCACCAGTGATCGCTGTGTCCTAAGGACACAGCTGATCACGTAATACGGTAAACGGCCAATCAGAACGGCCTTTTACCACGTGATCAGCTTTGTGCAGATCACCGGGTAAATACAGTTGCTGGTTATCTGCTGCACTTTCCTCGCACTTTTACAGCATGAGGAAAGTACTGTCGATAACCAACAATTGTCAGTGAAGTGATCACCCCCTGATGATCTGTGCCCAGCAGTGCCACCCAGCAGTGCAGCATCATCAGTGCCAGCTCATCATGCTGCCTATCTGTGCAGCCTCATCAACGCACATCAGTGAAGGAGAAAAATTACCTTTTTTCAAAACTTTATAATCGAAACAAAGAATCTTTTTTTTTTTTTTTTTTCTCCAAATGTTTTGCTTATTTTTTGTTTATAGCGCAAAAAAATAAAATACCCAGTGGCGATTAAATACCACCAAAAGAAAGCTTGATTTGTGTGAAAAAAATTATATAAATTTCATATGGGTACAGTGTTCATGACCGTGCAATTGTCATTCAAAGTGAGACAGCGCTGAAAGCTGAAAATTGGCCTGGGTAGGAAGGGGGTATAAGTGCCCAGTAGGCAGGAGTGAGGGAGTGGCCGGAGTGAATGAAGGAGCAGCGCTTCCTGGACTGGATCGTCGTGGGACTGGGACCGGAGCCAGGTAAGATACAGCAGCCCCCTGCCCGCCCCTGTACTTATTGTGCCTTCCTCTCAGAAAATATGCCCCTGCCGGCGGGCCGGATAAATGGCCTCAGTGGGCCGTAGTTTGAGACCCCTGGTCTAGACAAAGAACACATGCATTGGCTGGATCACCAGTAAAAATAAAGGAAAAAAAAAGAAAACCAATGTAGCTACCACATCTAAGAATTGATACATTTAAACTTCTCAGGACGGGCGCCCAAAAGTAGCTATATTAACCCATACACTGTAAAGAGGCCTTGCTTCTGTGGCTCCCAAGGCAGCCATGTTTTGGTTGAAAGAGTTGCTTAAGGCTACTTTCACTCTGTTCTGCAGCAAAAACGCATATGCAAGTTTACTGCATTTTTACCACGTTTGTGATGCGTTTTTTAACCACTTCCCGACCGGCCGTTGTATATAAACGGCCGGACGGTGGCACTGCAGGGTCGGGTGGCCGTCTATAAACAGCCTCCCCGCACCCTGCTTGTGCGTGCTCCCTGGGAGCGCGCAGCACCGCGATCCGGTGCCCGCTGTGTCCTCCGGACACAGTGAAACACCCGATCATGTGATCACTGATTGGCCAATCAGTGATCACATGCAAAGTAGTAAGCAAGATGTCACTTCTGACATCATTGCTTACTATGTGTGAAATCTGTGAATGATCACAGAGGTCACATGGTACAAGGCTATTCACAAAAACCTTGTACCATGTGACAAGCTGTGACCAATCACAGCTCACTCTGTATTTCTCAATGAGTGCAGGAATGCACACAGAGAGAAAGAGAAATGATTGCTTTTACATCCTATATGGGTGTAAAAGCAATCAGTGTAAAAAAAAAAAAAAAAAATCTTTATCACCCCTCACAAGTAGTACAGTGTCACCATGGTGACACTGTACTGCTAGGGTGACAGTATGTAAAAAAAAAAAAAAAAAATATAAAAAAATAAAAATAAAAATGTAAAAAAAAGTTTAAAAATTATAATTTTTGCCTATAAACTAATTTGGATTTTTTTTTTTTTACTAAAAAGATAACGGAATAAATTTTGGCTAAGATTTATGATGAAATATTATTTATTTGCAAAATTTTATAAAAAAAACACTTTTTTAAAAATTTTTTGGACATTTCATTTACATAGCAAAAAAAATACAAATCCCAGTGGTGAATAAATACCACCAAAATAAAGCTTTATCTATCTAAAAAAATGGTAAAAAATTCATTTGGGTACAGTGTTGCATGACCGCGCAATTGTCATTCAAAGTGTGATATCGCTAAAAGCTGAAAATTGCCCTGGTCAGGAAGGGGGTAAAAGTGTCCGGTCTGGAAGTGGTTAAAGGACGTGACTCAAACTCGATGCATGTGCATTTTTTCATGTGTTTTGCGCGGTTTCCGTTTATTTCAATGGGAAAGTGCACTTTTTTTTCACTGCACCAAACCTGCACCAAAAATGCAGCAAGCAGGACTTTGAAAAACGCAACAGATGTGAAGAGTTCCATAGGAATACGTGGAAGAAAAATGGATCGGTGTAAGAGCAGCCTAAAGCTGGACTACAGGATAAGTAATGTCTAAATACAAGTCGCATATGTATTCCTACTTGAATCTTGGTGTGCTTTGTTTTTATTCTTGGTGTTCAGCTGTTCAAATACTATATCTTGAATAAAGGTGCACAATATTGCTCTTAAAAATAGCCATTAATCAGGAAGTGTGTTTTTTTTTTTTTTTTTCCCCCATCTCATTTTAGAAAGCAGAGGAACTAGGTTATGGGCAATCTTTGATGTCTCGGCTCTGCCAAATCCTAGAAGCCTCTGGCACCAATACTCCAATCATGCGTCTGACAATACAATACCGTATGCACCCTGATATTTGCCTCTTTCCCTCCAAACACTTTTACAACTCTATGCTGAAAACTGATAGGTAGGATTGGCTTTTTAGAATTTTTATTTTATTACAGTAGGCTGAACAAAAGGCCAACCAAAATCCTCACACGTTTTTTCATCTACAGGGCAATAGAGGAAGTCCGGTGCTCCTCAGACTGGCCATTCCAACCTTACATGGTATTTGATGTTTCTGATGGTTTAGAAATGAAAGAGAAGGAGTAAGTATCAAAAATAATACTGCATAAATAGTGGCACAGCAGAGTCTGCCAAAATATTTTGTTTGGATATTCTAAAAAAGTAAAAAAAAATTTCAACCACACATCTGATGTTGCTTCCCTAGACATTGGCCTACAAAACTGGCACAAAAGGACTGGTGTTGGTGACAAGTGATGACATTTTCCTATCATAGGACAGCGCTCAGGACTAGCAATTTGCTGCTAGGCTTTAGCACTGTCAGGGGAAGCCACATGCAGCTCGGACCCAAAAATGTTTAATAGTGTGACTGGCTGTAATGGAGGAAGGAGCGCTGGCAAGGTAAGTATAAGTCAGTTGTGGTAAGTAAAACAGATGACTCAATGCAGAGCTTATGGTGTGAAAATTTTGCTTAAACTGGAAGTAAAGGCGAAGCATGTTGATGCATTTGCATTGGCTTACCCCAGGGCCGTCTTATCGAATAGACAACCTTGAGCAGTGCCCAGGGGCCCCGGGTTCATGAGGGCTCTTGCAGTTCCCCCCTCCCCCAACAGAGGGAATTGCAAGTGGACAGATTGGTGATCCACAGGCTGGTGGGGGAAATAACTGGAATCGATCTGTGCGGCTCTCACTGCAGCAGCGGAAAGCCAGCATCTCCTCCACCCTCCTACTGGCTGTCAGCTGTTATAGGGAGAGCAACAAAAGATTCCAGTAATCTCCCCTATGCTCCGCACTGATCTCCCCCTCCTCCCCACAATCAGATTCCTCTCTGCTATACCCCCCCCCCTTTCCCACAGTGCTCCTGCCTTCCTTCCTTTCCTCTCCCACCTGCAGCTCTGGGCACATAGGGGGATGTTTAGGATAAAGAGCAGGGGAAGGGGCCAATAGATTGTTTGTTTTATTTAGGTACCATCCACTCACGATGTCCATTCATAACTGAAGTATAGTAAACTGTTTACTATGCTTCGGTTTATGAATGAACAGGAGCCTCTGTCTCCTGTTCATCTGCAGTGCAGCTGAGGATGCAAAAAAGGATCTGGGGAATGATATCTCACCAAAGACCCCTCAACAACATTGTGAAAAAAATTTAAAATGTTTTTACAATATTTCAAAAAGATAATTAAATTGTAAAAAATTAGACTACAATTTCTAATCAGACATAAAAGTCTCACCCAATATATGGCATATTTTAGCCACGCACACTGTTTGCCATGGCATGCTACACATACTGCAGGATACCATATAACTGCTAGGGGCCCAAATTCATTACTTTGCCCAGAGGCCCATGATGCTATTAAGACGGCACTGCTAACCCCCTTGTATACCCTCCTCCAGAAATAAAAGGTTTGTGCTCCCCAGTATTGTTTTGTCCACTGCTGCCACCTTCTGTTGGTATTCTTCCTCGTTTGGTGTCTTCTCACTGCAGCTAGTGTTGATGTAATTTATGTGCATGCGAAATTTCGCCTGAACTCAATTGTTTGCATTCTGCTGATTCTGGGAATGAGCCAGCAGTGTACATAGCTGAAAAAAAACTAAGATTATTTTTGACAGAAGAGACATGCTGTCTATCTTCTACCAAAGACAGCGGAATGGGGGGTGGATGGGAAGATTGTTCCTTAAAGCTGAGTTTTGCGGTATGACTGTGGTTTTAATCATTTCATTATGCAGCTGTATTTCCAGATTTGTCAGTTAGACTTCTGTAGGTTATTTGTTTTTCTTTTAAAGCTCACACTTTATTTTTTTTTGGACAGGTCCTTCTCCAACCTATCGGAAATCCAAATGGTGGTGGCCCTAATAAAGCTTATTAAGAGCAAGAAAAAAGAGTTCTGCTTCCGAAATATTGGCATTATTACCCCGTACCGTGCTCAGAAAATCAGGCTTATTGCTGAGCTTAAGAAAACTTTTGGTGATAACTCAATGTGAGAAAATTATACAACTACAACCTTGTACTTTCCATGCGTAAATAGAAGAAAACCAAAATCTACACTCTCGTGCTCTCTTTCAATACATAGAATTTTCTCCCTATGTTTTTTGTTTTTTTTTATAACAAATGATTATGAAATATAATCCTCTTAATCGTTCAGGGCACAGTCTTGATATTCATAGACCCTGGGTTTATAGGCTGGACATTGGAAAAGCTTTTGAGGATATGCTCCCTGGGTGCCCCCTATATCCTTACCCCACTCTGCTTTTGCAGTGTACTAAGGTGATGGACATCATCTGTTTACAGAGAAACTACACTTAGTTTATTATTTTACTTTGGATTGTTTAAGTCTTCAACGTCTTCAATACAGCAATAAAAAGCAGTGCATCTGGGTAAGTGCAACAACGCATAGACCTCACATTGTGGGGATGCCCTGTAATATAGCTTGAGCACTGGATCACCTTAGCACTTGGTGCAACACATACAATTAGCTACAGGGTGCTATACAAGTCCCAGAATTTTTTAATGTATGGAGTAAGGACACAAATATCCAAACTGCTTTAGGAATAAGTTTGTATTAGGTATATATAATACATACAATCACCCAGTAGGTACAAATAAAAAAAGTATGTCATTTTAACATCAAGCACAATACAACAATGATGTATACTCCATTGTTGAATGACAACAAAGAACATGCATGCATATAGGTACAATGAGATGCACTTAAAATGTTTGTTCAGAAATTCAGTACCCATAATAGCGTAATGAGAAGGAAAGCTGAGTATTTCTAAACAATTACCTTCAAATTCAAAATTTTCACATGGAATCTGCAAGACTGATTATTGCCTCTCTGAGATGAGGGGAATGCCAAGGATTTGTTGACATTCAGGGTTCTTTTCTGGATATTCCTATTTACCTACCTCATCAGCACTTTGTGTTTTGTAATAGGAAACAAAAAAGGTACTTGCACCCCTGCTTGCCCTTGTAAGAACTCAGGCATTAAGGTCACAGGGTATCTAGACAACTTTATTTTGAAGGACTTCTGTTCCAACTGCCAACAGCGTCCACAGGGCTATTCAGGCACTTCAGCCACGTATTTCTGGCTGTGTAATCAACTCTGGAAAAATATGCTCTCCAACCTTACCTTCTGGCATGCTTGGGCAGTCCAAGCAACAGTCTTCCTTCCAGAAAAAAAAAAATCCGGTCTGTATAAGATGTCATGCTTGGTCCTCCAGAAAACAAACTGGTCTCTCTTATGTCTCCTGCTCAGACCTCAAGATCAAAAGACATCCCTCTGTGAGATTCATTAAGAGTTCTGCAGCTCTCCAACACAACATCTGATTGGCATGGAACAAACATACTCCCACTCTTGACCTCATTATACTTCTGTCCAGCCGAGCAGGGAACTCCCTAGCTGGGTAGATTGTCAATCCAACCTTGACAATGGAAAAAGTAATTTCTACCACAACAATGGAAGATGATGATAACCAGCCTCCCAGGCTGGGAAGGAGCATTCCAGTTTCTCAGTTCATGGAACATGGTCACCCAGTGAAGCCAAGCTCTCCATCTACATCTCCAAACTCAAAGCGATAAACATGGCTCTACATTGGACCACCCTCCCTCAGGGACATCTGATCAAGGTGCAATCAGATTACAGCTGTAGCCTCAATCAATCACCAGGGGGTATAAGGAGTCATGCAGTCTTAAAGGAACCAAGTTTTATCATCTCATTGGCAGAGAAATACTGTCCAGTGATCTCTGCTGTCCACAATCCAGAAGTGGACACTTGGGAGGCAGATACCTCAGTCGTCACCACCTGGACCAAGGGGAATGGGCCCTTCATTCTGACATCTTTAACCTGATATGTCAGGTATGGATGTGGATTTCCTGGCCTCCAGGTTCTGTTGAGCAAGCTATTCCTGTTTCTGGCCAGGACCAAAGGTCCTCTAGCACTGACATTGGATGCTCTGATAATTCCCTGGACTCAGCATAGCTACTTTTTTCCTTTCCTCCAGTGTCAATTCAGCCTCGCTTGATTCGCAAAATAGAGAAGATACTGGTGATTCCTATTGCGCTATATTGGCCCACAAGAACCTTGCACGCAGCCATACTTGGACTTCTAGGCCTCTTCCAAACAGGCCATATCTGCTGTATCAAGGTCCTCACTTCCTTCCTGCTTCTCAGTCATTGGCTTTAATAGCATGACTGTTGAAACCCAGGTCTTGAGGAGACAGAGGTTCTCCGACTGTCATTTCCACATTGCTAAAAGCGAGGAAAGCCACTTCCAGAAAGATCTACCATGGTACCAAAGATTACTCTGTGCCTTGCATTCTGGCCTTCCTAAAATCTAAATTTGACCAACACTGGGAATACCAATTGCTGGATCTAGTGTAGATACCAGGTCAAAAATAGTTGCTATTAGTGTCTCAAATGGCTTAAATTTAAAAAACCAAATTATACATATTGACAATTTTTATTATCCACTTGAAGACCAAGCATTTTCTGGCACGTTTTTGTTTAGTTTTTCTTTAGTTTAAATCTGTATTTTTTGCTAGAATATTACTTTTAACATGCAAATATATATATATATATATATATATATATATATATATATATATATACACAGTGGGGATCGAAAGTTTGGGCACCCCAGCTAAAAATTTGTGCATAAAATAAAGCCAAGGAAAGATGGAAAAATCTCCAAAAGGCATCAAATTACAGATTAGACATTCTTATAATATGTCAACAAAAGTTAGATTTATTTCCATCATTTACACTTTCAAAATAACAGAAATTTCTATACAAAAAAATGGCGTGCTCTGCAAAAGTTTGGGCACCCCGATGCAGAATTTATAGCATGCACTGCCCCCTTTGCAAAGCTGAGACCTGCCAGTGTCATGGATTGTTCTCAATCATCGTGCTGGGAAGACCAGGTTATGTCAGTCTCAAAGGTTTTAAATGCCCAGACTCATCTGACCTTGCCCAACAATCAGCACCATGGGTTCTTCTAAGCAGTTGTCTAGAAAACTGAAACTGAAAATAGTTGACGCTCACAAAGCTGGAGAAGGCTATAAGAAGATAGCAAAGCGTTTTCAGATGTCAATATCCTCTGTTCGGAATGTAATTAAGTAATGGCAGTCATCAGGAACAGTGGAAGTTAAAGCAAGATCTGGAAGACCAAGAAAAATATCAGACAGAACAGCTCGCAGGATTGTGAGAAAGAAAAACAATTCAAAACCCACGTTTGACTGCACGATCCCCCACGTCCAGAAAGATCTGGCAGACACTGGAGTTGTGGTACACTATTCCGCTATAAAGAGATACTTGTACAAATATGGCCTTCATGGAAGAGTCATCAGAAGAAAACCTCTTCTACGTCCTCACCACAAAAATCATCGTTTGAACTTTGCAAATGAACATATAGACAAGCCTGATGCATTTTGGAAACATGTTCTGTGGACCGATGAGGTTAAAATTGAACTTTTTGGCCGGAATGAGCAAAGGTACGTTTGGAGAAGAAGGGGCACAGAATTGAATGAAAAGAACCTCTGTCCAACTGTTAAGCATGGGGTTATCAATCATGCTTTGGGGTTGTGTTGCAGCCAGTGGCACAGGGAACATCTCACGAGTAGAAGGAAAAATGGATTCAATAAAATTTCAGCAAATTTTGGATGGTAACTTGATGCCATCTGTGAAAAAGCTGAAGTTAAAGAGAGGATGGCTTCTACAAATGGATAATGATCTTAAACACACCTCGAAATCCAGGGGGTTACACTTCAAGAGGCGTAAACTGAAGGTTTTGCCATGGCCTTCACAATCTCCTGACCTCAACATAATTGAAAAGCTATGGATAGACCTTAAAAGAGCAGTGCGTGACAGACAGCCCAGAAATCTCAAAGAACTGGAAGACTTTTGTAAGGAAGAATGGGCAAAGATACCTCAAACAAGAATTGAAAGACTCTTGGCTGGCTACAAAAAGCGTTTACAAGCTGTGATACTTGCCAAAGGGGGCAGTACAAGATATTAACTCTGCAGGGTGCCCAAACTTTTGCAGACGCCATTTTTTTGTTTTCTGTTATTTTGAAAGTGTAAATGATGGAAATAAAATCTAACTTTTGTTGACATATTATAAGAATGTCTAATCTATAATATGATGCCTTTTGGAGATTTTTCCATCTTTCCTTGGCTTCTTTATGCACATTAATACAAATTTTTAGCTGTGGTGCCCAAACTTTCGATCCCCACTGTGTGTGTATGTGTATATATATATATATATATATATATATATATATATATGTGTGTGTGTGTATATATATGTGTGTGTGTGTGTGTGTGTGTATATATATATATATATTTGTGTGTGTATATATATATATGTATGTGTATATATATATATGTTTATATATATATGTATAATATATTTTTTTATTAATTTTTTTTTTTTTTTTTTTTTTTTTTTAGCAAGGGCCTCTTAAAAATGAAATGGCGATCGTTGCAGTTTTTTATATCACATGGTTTTTGCACAGCGTTTTTTTTTTTTAAATGCAATTTAATCACTTTTATTCCTATTACAAGGAATGTAAGCATCCCTTGTGTTACGGAATGTGGCATCCGACCCTTGCCCTTCTCACCAATTTGTGACCAAAGACCAGCAAATCTCGCACCCCGCTGTCACTTTCTTAACAATGCCACTCTCCGCTGCGCCCTGCACAAAGATTTTCCAGCTTGTGGGACCACAGTCTATGTGCCAGCAGCCTGAGAGCGATTGCCACTGGGTTAGGTTAAATACGCAATTAACCCTTCACACTGCCACCAATTCCTTTTTACAGAGAAAAGAAAACTCACAAATCCTAGCAATAACACTATGATATTAGCATAAGCGTTTGCAACACACACTGTCACCACACAGGTATATTTCAGAGGATTATTACATACAGTAGCACTTTTCAAGAGACTGGAATTCTTTAGTTTGCAATAAAAGCTTTAGAGACC